ATTATATGCCATTCCTCTAGTCCAGCGTTTCCCAAACTATTCCAACTAGGGATCCGTTTATTTTTGTAATTTTTCATGAGACCAGGCCTCCTCAAATACCAAATTAGATAACCCACTAAGACATTAACTAAGGCTTAACATCAAGCTGGAAGCAATAGTTCTATCAATACATCATCGATTATAAAATATACAAGTGTTTTATAGTACTACTGTGTAAAAAGAAATTAGACTTCATTGTTATTTAATCTTTACATTAACTGTATTTTTATTAATGCTCTTTCAAGAAATAAACTTACCTAATGAGAAGGATGATGCTATTTTTCATCACACAGCAACTTCAAATGAGGAGGAAAAGAAGTCAGTTTGATCTTCAAATCTGGCTGGATATCTGATCTGTTCCTGTACTTGTATTTTAAGAAAACCAACGTTGAGAAGCCTGATTCTATTTTATAAGTTGTGACAAAGGGCATAAGAAACCTCACTGCTTTTTCTGATAATGCCCCCTAGTGGCACAGTGGTATATCTGCGGACTTATATCACTAGAAACCAGGTTTCGATACCCGTGGAGGGCAGAGCACAGATAGCCCAATTTGTAGTTTTGTGCTTAACTTCAAAACAAAACTTGTCTGATAAATTTAGATACTCAGCACGACAACTCAGCCAAAAATTAATTAACAAGACTTGACTAAAATGGTCTTTCATTGCGGTATCACAGGACAGTTCAATAATAGAATCAATTTCTGATTCACTGAGTTATAATCCTTCCTGATTTTCCGTGTCAACAGCAAAAGGGTTCCTGATCCACATTTTATTGCTGTCAATTGGAGGAAAATATTCTTTTAAGCATGATTTTAGCCCCAAAAGATGCTCTTTGATTGATGAGGAAATCTCATCTGGAATATTACCTTCTTCATCTTGGTGATGTAATTCTGTTAAAGTAGAGAAAGATTTATAATTTCTCTTCTCAACTTGATGTACCCACAAGTTAATTTTTTTATAGCTGCTTCTCTCTTTTCCTGGACTTTAAAAATATTTATGTTAGCACCTTCTAAATTTAGATTTATCGCACGCATTTAAGAAACCAAAAATCAATGCAAATTATGAAACCTGTCTCTAATGTAACGAATTTATTGTTGTGTATTTATTTTTAATATGAACGTTGTTTAGATTACATTTGTATTTAAAAATATGCGTAACTTATAGCGTCA